ATCTCTACAAATATATGTATTAGGTATGCATATACCGCGAGGATATATATATGAATCATTTTAAAAAGAAATACTATTAAAACGAAAGAAATAAACTCAACGGGGAACATCCTCGTGTGTTTGAGTGTGCGAATCGAGTAATGGAATTTGATAGCATCGTATACCTTCCCTAGGGTTGTGAGTGGGAACCAGGGTGTCGTTGTAGAGGAGGACATCGAGAAAGTAGAATAGAGGCTGGGAAACTCTCTGAGCACGTGATCACCGTGGCTGCATCGACAAAACACCCAAGTGGCTGATATGGGAGGGGTGGCTCACGAGTCACCTACTTCAGGAGTGATTTTTTTTATTGGTATATCCACACCTTCGTACATTCCCTTGTACAACCAGGAAATTAAACATGGTCGCCAACGTCAGACTGATACGGCACGGAAAAAAATCCGTTTTGTTATTGTTATTATTGTTATCACTGCTATTGTTATTACTTATTACATTATTATCATTATAATTTTGATCAGCATTTTTATTATCATAATTTTTATTGTAATGATTACCATTAGCAGTAGTAGTAATGTTATCAATATTATTATCGTTATCATCATCATCATCATTATTATCATTTTCATTATCATCATTATTATTAATATTATTATTATTAATTCTCAACACAAAGCATTTGATCTTCGCTTTGGAATAGTCACTGTGAATGCGGGCACCAACCAGCTGCCAAAGAACTCACAGGTCTCTGAACCAGATTTTTTAGGAACCAAGTACCAATCTTAATACTCTTGCTGTCCCATGTAGCGCTGTTTTCTGCACATGCTCGATACAAATATCTATCCCAATCTCTTGCATAAATTTCCCAAGCCAACGACAACCGGAATTATAGTCACTTTCTGCATTTGCCACAGACGTGCAATCTCATCCTTCAATGGTTTGTACTTATCAATCTTTTCTATCTCTTTCTCGCATACTCTGACATCTCCAGGTATTGCAATATCTATGATTTTAACCTCTCTTTTTTGCTTGTCCACTACAACGATGTCCGGTCGGCGGGCCTCAATCTCCCTGTCACACTGAATCATGACATCCCACAAGATCTTATAATTAGTATTCTCAATTAGCCCATCCGGCTTATGATCATACCATTTGTTGGCTTTGTCCAGTTCATATTTTTCACAGAGGCGCCAATGTACATACTTGGCAACATTATCATGCCTCCGCTTGTATTCCTCTGCGCCAACATACTGCATTCACTTATAATATGTGTAATTGTTTCATTTTTATTGCCACACATTCTACAAAATGGGGAGTCAATGGTTTAATCAACTTTAAATTTGGTGTAATTTGTTCGGAGAGCCTGTTCTTGTGCACTGCAAATCAATGCTTCATCATGGTTTCTTACGTACCACCCAAGACTATTTTCTTCTGTAACAACACAGCTCTTGCAACCTATCAGCCCTCTACCACCTTTACTTCGCTTTACGTATAACCGATCGACGTCACTCTTGGGGTGAAACTCCTTATTCATAGTCATAATTTTCCGAGTCTTCCGGTCCATCTCATCAAGCTCGGCAACATTCCATTTAATGATACCTGCCCCGTATCTCATTAAGGACACTGCCCATGTGTTCATCGCCATGATTTTATTCCTTCCATGTAGTCTACTTTTCATAATAGCTTTTGCTCTACGTAGGTATTCTCTCCTGAAACTTTCTTTCATCTCACTATCCTTTATCTTATCGAATTCTGTGATTCCAAGGTATTTATAGCCTTCATCTTCAACTTCCTTAATTTTGTAACCACTTGGCAATTCCAAACCATCTGTTTTCACCACCTTTCCTCGCTTTAAAATACGTGTGCCACACTTCTTGGCCCCAAATTCCATTCCTATGTTATTTGAAAATATTTTTACAGTAGAGACCAATCCGTTGATTTCACGTTCATTCTTCCCATAGATCTTAAGATCATCCATGAATAACAAGTGATTTAGCTTTAGTCCACACTTCAGAGCGTAGCCTGTAGGGACTTTCCTTAATATGTCTGTGAGGGGAATCATACAGATCACAAATAAAAGAGGTGAAAGACTATCTCCTTGGAAAATCCCTCTCCTGATGTTGACCTTACCCAAGAATTCACCACACGATGTCAAATCCACATTCCAATTCCTCATAGATCTCATGATGAAACTAATAACATTATCCGCCACATTTGCCAGTTCCAGACTTTCGAGAATCCAGGAATGGGGGACCATATCATAGGCTTTCTTATAATCGATCCACGCCATTCCCAGGTTGGTATGTCTCTTCCTACAGTCATTCAGCACTGTTTAATCGATGAGCAGTTGGTCCTTCGTCCCTCTGCTTCTCCTCCTGCAACCTTTCTGCTCATTTGGCAACCTATCAGCATCCTCCAGAAAGTCATACAAAACGTTGGATATGATCCCTGTCATCAGCTTCCACATCAAAGGTAAACAAGAGATAGGCCGATAGTTGTCAACAGCATTTCCTTTGCCAGGATCTTTTTGGCATAGAACGGTATTACCGGTGGTCATCCATTTGGGAATTTCAACCCCGTTGTTAATAATGTCATTTAATTGATCTGCAATTCTCTCATGCAATGCCGTGAAACTTTTCAACCAATACCCTTGTACCCCATCAGGTCCAGGGCATTTCCAGTTTGGGATCTTTCTTGTTTGCTGGATCACCATCTCAGTCGTAATTCTAATATCATCTTTTTTCCCATCGCCTTTAGCCGCTCGTAATTCTCTCAGCCATTCAGCATCATTTTTATGATCTACTTTGTTATCCCAAATGTTACTCCAAAACCGTTTACTTTCATTAGCATCAGGTTTCTCATTGCTGTTTACCTTTCCACCCAGCTGTTGGTAAACCCGTTTTTATTATTAATATTATTATTATTATTATTATTATCATTATCATTATCATTATGACTAGCACTGTTATAATCATAATTATCATTATTATTCATAATGAAAACTAGAATTTTTACTCTCGATTTACATTATTTTGACCCCAAACAAAGGTCCCTAAAATCCGGGATATTTTTTTCCTATTTCCGGGATTCACAAAACCAAAAGGGCTTGGAAGGTAGGTGAAGGTGATGGAACCGATGGGAAATTAGTTGCAGAAACCCTTTAAGCAGTATGTATATACATATAAATGTGTATATATACATTCGTATATATATGTGTGTGTGTGTGTGTACATATATATACATACATACACATAAACATATACATACATACATATACATGTGTTATAATGGTCTCTAATTCAATGTACAGAAATCACCCTCAGCAGCTACATCCTGTTTTCGCTGAGGTCAGGTCATCTGCCCTAAGCAAGCAGCTGCTCCGGCTTGGTGCTTACTGAATGTCACATGTGTTTATGACAGATGGAATTGTCGCGGTTAGCTCAGTTTCATCCTAACCTCTGGTTGAATTACACTACGGGCCCATACGCCATGTTTCAAATGTTTCTTGCCTAGTTCTTATTTTCTTTATTTTGTGGTAGCACTGTGGTCCGAATCGTCAAGGCAATTGGCCAGAAAGAGAGCCTAATGATTGAGGCAACCATCAACAGAAAAAACAAAGATGTGTGTGTGTGTGTGTGTGTGTGTGTGTGTGTGTGTGTGCGAGTGTGAGCGGGTGTGTGTGTATAGGTGGGTGTGTGTGTATAGGTGGGTGTGTGTGTATAGGTGGGTGTGTGTGTATAGGTGGGTGTGTGTGTATAGGTGCGTGTGTAGGTGTGTATTCGCGCGTATACGTGTACGTGTGCATGTGGGTGTGCGGGTGCGCGGGTATACGTACGTGTGTGCGTGTGTATGTGTATGTGTGCGTGTACATGTGTGTTGCGCGTGTACGTGTGTGTTGTGCGTGTATGTGTAAGTGTATGTGTAAGTGTATGTGCGCGTGTAAGTGTACGTGTATGTGTGAACGAGGGTAACTACATAAGGGCTTGTTCGTGTGTGCGTGAGCGCTCACGAACGTAGTTACGTGTAGACAAACAGGTACGGGTATGAATTCCTTTGTGTATTTGCATAAAAAGTCTCCATCTCTTAAAAATCACGTTAACATGTTTACTATGAGGGAACACACTGTTTGTTATTCTCTAAAATAACTGTTCCTCTCTTCCACAATTCTTTTGCTTATTTGATAAAATTAAAAAGACAAGGTAAAATCGGAAAAAGAAAATGAAAGGGCGAGTTCTGGTGTTTTACTGGGAGAGTGACAGCGTACATATACACAAACCAATATAATTAGCGTTACCTTTTCATATCAGATCACAGGTCACTGTTGCAATCCGCTGTCGAAAGGAGTCCGTTACAAAAGTTCAGAAAACACAAAAAACACAAAAGGCGACAGCGCGTTGCCTTGGCGAACCCCAGCCTGCCCTCTCTCTGTCTCGAGTGTGTCTCTAGTGACCTGTTCTCGTAATCTCCCTCGTCTTACATACCAGAAAAGCCATGCGTTCTTATCTCACAGTAATTCCACTGTCCTCAGTCGACTCCAGTAGGTCTACACCCGTGAAAATGACAAATGACCTTAGAACCCACTATTTCAACCCTTATTGCTTGTGAACAATTTCCCATGCTGTTATTTCGTTGTCTACGTGCATAACTATGTGTTGTTTATACTTGAAATGTTCGTTAGAAAATGCTTATTCTAAATTGCTATGTATGTTGCCGTTAACATTGCCTATATTCAAAATGTCTTTATGATTTGTGTATACTCAGCATTTTTGTCTCCTTATCGCGAAGCTTTTTAGTCTTGTAAACACCATAGCTCTTCTTACACACAACCGTGTGTATAAGGTACCCTTGTTCGTTCACCACGAAACCATCATGTGACCATATGTATCAGATTTTATGTTCATTCAAATTCTTTCATGTTTTTCATTATGAATTGTTTCAAAACGAAGTTTGTTCATGGAAATGTCTGAGCAGTTCAGACAGACCGCTCGCCACGGCGGGCCGGGCAGGTCGCCCCGCTCTTCCCTGAGCGCCCTTGCCTTGCCCGTCCTCTGTGTCCCACCTGCCACGCTACCACAGAAATAAAGACTTGAAGCTGTATCAACTTTAACTTAACTCCACGACACTTCAAGAAACAATCAGAGTACCATACAGAAAAGAAAGAGGGGATACAACAACACCTAAATATATTACATTGGTGTCACCGCTGGGGATATCAACCAAGTTATTACATTGGTGGCATCGCACTGGGATAAAACAAACCAACTTTATTACAGTGTCTCTCTGGCGGGCTACCCCCTGGTGTGCATCCTCACCTTCGCGGCAATTAGCCACTAGATAGTTCACTAGTTTCTTTTCTGGTCAAGTAATTGTGGCTTAGTTAATACCATTGTCACAGTTGAATATTGTCGCACTACGCAGTTGCTCTCGTCTGCGCCCTGGTTCTCGCGCCTTTTACAGTGATCGGGTTTTGTTGCGTCGTTCTTTAATTATCTTATATACGATTGCTCGTGCGTGTCAGTCCACCTGCAAATCCGATCACGACAGAATGATATATATATTATTCCATCTGTCATAAACACATGTTTATGTTTATATGTGTATATATATATATGTATATATACACACAAACGTGTGTGTGTGTGTGTGTGTGTGTGTGTGTGTGTGTGTGTGTGTGTGTGTGTGTGTGTGTGTGTGTGTGTGTGTGTGTGTGTGTGTGTACGTGCGCGTGGATGCACATTACTTACATACGTGTGTATGAATATGCAGATACGTATATTTCAAGTGGTAAATAGTTTATATAAGTCGCCCTTCATATCTTGAAGATTCGCGTCTATTTACCTTCTTAGGGAGAGAGAGAGAGAGAGAAAGAGCGAGAGAGAGAAAGAGAGCGAGAGAGAGAAAAAAAAGAGAGAGAGAGAGAAAAAAAGAGAGAAAGAGAGAGACAAAGAAATAGACAGATGTACGTCCTTGATCCACCGTTGCTCTCCTGCATGAAGCTGGGGTGTGTGTGTGTGGGGGGGGGGGGGTAATGTGAATCCATTTCTTTCCTCGTGTGGTAGCGAGCGAGATAGATAAATAAATTAGTAGATAGATGAACAGATAGACAAGGAAATCGACAGACGTATACACGAATAAATGCAGACATAAACAAACAAATACTCGAACAGATAAGGATAATATTATTATTCTGGCCTTTTTAATATCATTGTTATTGTTGCTAGGCAGAGAGGTATATAGACAGAGAGAGAGAGAGAGA